TTCATTGATTTCATTTCTGCTAAAATATTCTGCGTTCTAAGCTGTTGAATTCCCACACCGGAAACATGTGAATGAATTAAGTGCTATATTAAGATATGGGCTTCTCCTCCTATCAGGTTGACCTTTTAGGATGTAACTCCGGATCTTAACATGATATCAGAGTCAAACGGATTCATGGTGTGGGTCCCATTATGAAATGACAATAACGAATTGATGGAAAATGAATGATGACACGATCCAAACGAAGTATCTGGTCGTGAGGAGGGATATTGAATTCTCACACCAGAAACGTGTGAAGGAATTATGTGCTATATTAAGATCTGGATTACTCCTATCAGGTTGACCTTTTATGATGGAACTCCGGATCTTAATACAAACATCGAGTAATGCTGCTAGGGAAGTGAAAGTTGATGAATCTTTCTATGAAGTAGCATTGTAGCAAGAAATCGTAATCATATTTTTATAGTGAAAGCGATAGTTGGAAGATAATGAAATTCACCGTGAATATGCCTTCGGCATTCGTTTCATATATATAGAATTAACAGGAGTATGTGATAAGGATTACACAGCCGTATGGCACTAAACTAGCTACGTACCTGCTTTGCTATACAAGTGAGAAAGCTACGGAAACAAAACCTATCTACACAACTGTATTACTAAGATATTAATTAATTTAATAATACATAGCACCGGTAATGCTGGAAGTGCGGTGCATGCATGTGTACCATTTACGTAGCATGATTCTATCAGCGATTGCAAGTAAGAGCCCGTTTGGTAGCACGGAAATTGGCTGTTTTGACTGATTCTGCTAATTTCTGAAGTTCTGGCTGAAGTGGCTGTATTGGCTGATTCTGCTGATTTAAGAAACAATTATTTTTAAAATACATTTTATTAATAAAATAAAGAAAATATTACTCCCTCCGTGCCATTTTACCATTTCGGTTCGTCTCACTAAAATTCTCTCATACTTTATTTGGTAAAGTTTGAGTGTATCTAAATCATTTCTACTTTATTCTTACTTTATCAATTCAATATCAACCACATAAACCCACTTTTATTATTAACCGTGCCACCTTCTCTTGTCCCAAACTTAGGGGGACGGAGGTAGTATATGTAAAAATAGCTAAAATGGTCATCTACAGTGACTTCAGCCAAAACAGCCAGAAAAGTAACTCCAACCCTACTTTTTCTGCTTATTACACAACTCAGCGCACGAAAGTAAAAGTTACGTGTTCGGTGAAAAAGTTGGCTGATAAGCCTGATAAGCCGAAAAACAGTGCTGCCAAACGGCCTCTAAAATTGAAGCATTATTTCACGCGCAAAAGTGTGAAACCCTGTAACAAAAGGTTTGAAGTGAAGCAAAGAGAACAAATCTGATTTTGGGGGTGTTTGGAACTGATTCTGCTTCTGCTTCTTTTTTAAAGCCGAAGAAGAATCAGAATCAGTTTTCAGAAGCTGGAACCCCCCCCCCCCCCCATCTTCTAGAAAACCTTATGCTGGGAGTAAATTAGAGCACCAGAAGTGCTTCTGGAATTTCAGCCAAACACTCCCAGCTTCTGCTTCTGCTCCTTGAAGGAGCAGAATCAGTTTTGAGAATCAGATCCAAACACCCCCTATCACATTTTTGAAGTGTTGTTTGAAGGGAAGAGATTAAATCTGATTTTATCACATTTTGAAGTGTTGTTTGACAATTATAGGGGTTGAATTGGTCGGAGTGGGCTATTTCAATGCAACCCCACTCGAGAAGTTATATTGCTTATGTAGTGTGTTTTTTCTCTAGAATTTTATTTCTGTATGTTTGGAGTCTTTATTTGTGTTTTCGTTTATTTCACGGTTCTATTTATTTTTTATTGGGAAATTATTCTAAATAGGACTAAAACGTTTGTATATTTCAAAATATGGTTGTATTTCACGGCTCTTTATTTTTTATTGTATATGGTGTTTTTATTCCCAAAATATAACTGATTACTGTCATATTTTGGCAGTATCACACTTTCAACAATGCAATATTTTTTAAACTTGACAATAATTACTGCTATTTCGGAAATAAAAACATGGCAACCTTATTTTGAAAATTTTAAACTATTTTACTCTTATTTCGAAAATTTTCCTTTTTTATTTTCTTTAAATATGGTAGAGGCTTTGTGTATCCTCGAAATCATAATAGGAGCATGGCTGCATGGAGACAATATGACCCATTTAGCAATTTTCCTTTTTTATTTTCTTTAAATATGGTAGAGGCTTTGTGTATCCTCGAAATCATAATAGGAGCATGGCTGCATGGAGACAATATGACCCATTTAGCTTTAAGGGAGTATATATAAGAAAGGAGAGCAATTTTGGATTGCACATGAATGCAATTTTTTAAAAGCTCATGGATTTTAAAAGGTTTAGATGCATTAAATGTTGACTTTGAGATGACGGTGTTTTGGATGGTGCAGTTTGGAAGGCCTCAACGGTCACCATTGCTAAGTGCGATGATGAGACTTTCAATTTTAAATTTTAAAATGGAACTGCAGGAGAGCCGTTGAAAAACTATAAATAGAAAATTAGAAGTAGGGGTGGGCATAGCGATTTTGGTTCAGTTTGGAGCGGGTTGGAAGAATCATTACCAATAGCATATGAAGGTTTGGTTCGATTTCGTTTGGTTTGAATTTGTAACTCCATATTTTTTTTGCAAAAGAGAGAATTAACTTTCATTAATCAAGTCATAATCAAGTACAGAGCAAATGAAAGGCGGGTTACGCCGTATTTTTTAATAGCATATGAAAGTTTTATTTAATTTCATTTGATTGGTTCATTTTGTTTCGTTTTTCTCAGTTTAATTTAATAAGGTATGGTTAAATTTGTTTCGTTTTTCTCAGTTTTTAATACCAAGCAGAATCATATCAAACTCAAATCAAATTGCAAATGGTTCTGTTTGGTGCGGTTCGGTTAAACAAAACCGATACACCCACCCCTAATTACAAAGCAATTCTACATTTTGGGCTGGATGGTATATTTTGGGCTTGTGCGTGATAATTGATCCATTTGCGAGCTGAAATTGGATCATGAGACAAACACGGTTTGGACGGATTTGTGCGCCTAATACTTTAATGGGATGTACTCCTTTATCCCATGGTGGATGATCTTATATTCTCATTCTAGATTGGATAATGGGTATACTCCAAGTAATTTTATTGACAACCTTCAAATTACTATTTACAACAATAAAACTATTTTTTACCAAATTTTAGTTTGACAAAGTCTATATTGCCCTTACCTACCCTAACTATATGTTCATATGTAGATATGAAAATGAAATTTAATAGAAGTACTTTGAGTTATGTCATTGGCAAATGAACACATGACGGGTTTTCTTCATGTTTATGAATTCAAAAGGAGTCTTTTCATTCCTCAACCATTCAACTATGAAGAAGGTGAAATTATTGTTTTAGAATTACTTTTGAAAGAGAAGAAACAAAGTAGCATTAATGTGCTCATTAATTTGTTAATATTATAGTATTTGTTTTTTCTTCTTATTAATGTTTTATTTATTTTGTGTTCGCATATTTTTTTGTGTATGATGTAATGAATGATATTAGAACAATGACGTATCTAGTAAAGTAATATGTCAGATGTTCTTCAATTATTTTCATTTTTTCAAGATGTCATTTGTTATTTCTTACAACATGCATGTTATCTTGTGAGGTAAAATATGATGTTTGGACAGAAGTTGATGATCACCGAAAGTGAATAACTTTTAGTGATGATTTAATAAGGTGTTTACAATTCATTTCAACATGTTAATCATGAAGATCGTGTGCAGTTGTAAATTTTGTGAGTGGATTAGCGTCTATACCCGACACATCTTTATTCAGTTTATTGTTTTAAAGGATTTGAAAATGGAACACATTCCATGTCAACTTGTTACTTGTTAGTACTTAATTTTCTAAGGAGTTTCAATGATCGACTAAAGGCTAGCAAAGTAACCGCTACTGTTTTAGTGACTAGTCATCCTTGACTTCTCAAGTCAAAGATGGTAAATATCGATCAATTATTTAAACTAATATTTTTATGCAAAACTTAATAAGTTTATACTTTTACGATAATATTTTGGACAAATACTACGTAACATTTTCATAATATCAATACATTTGTATATAAATATATAATCGATCAAGGTTTAACACCATAGACTTGAAAAATCAAATATGGCTAACTAAAAAGGTTTTAGACAAAGAACACCAATAATTTAATAAGTTTATACAATCCTTCGATATTATTTTTTTTTTAAAAAGGAACTAGGGCTGATTATAAACTTGCTAAAAATGCACGACAACAAACAAGCAAGCATGTTTAAATTTCGTGAGCATTGTTTGATGATATCCCTCAAGCATGTTTAAATTTCGTGAGCATTGTTTAATGATATCCCTTCCATCTATGTATGTGGTATACCGCAATATCAGAGGCGGCCCTAGGGGTGCAACAGGGGCGACCGCCTTAGAAGAAAATAGAGGGAAAAAATCAAAAATAGGTCCAAAAATATTTCTTTGTATGTAGTGTAAGTAAGTTTCTTTTTTAAAATTTTAAGCTCAATTAATTGACTCAAGGTTTAATTTTTAAAATAAATGTAAAGTGACATGCCTCTCTTGATTCTCTTTGTATCTCTAAGTTTAATAATCCTTTTAATTACAAAATTATCAAGTTATGTTAGGCCTCCTAAGTCCAAAACTCCCAATTCGCAAAGACCATCCAAATTGATTCGTTATTTCCAAATTTCAATTTCAACAAGAGTAAAGAATGATGCATAGCTGTGAGTGTCGCAACGGTTTGTTAAAAATCGAAGTCTATCAATCGAGGAGCCCAAACGGCGGTCAGTGATAAAAAAATTTCTTCTATCAAGGCTTCAAACAATCCTGCCATGATCAACAAATTATTCTTGATACAAAATGGTGAATCAGGTTAGGATAAAGAGAGAAAGAGAAGAAGATTTGAAAAGACATGGTTAAGTTAGAAGAGATCAATGGAAAATATTGTTTTTGTTAAGAAATCGAATATTGAAAATTCCGTAAAAAAACGTTTTTCTTGAATGCAAGCCTAAAATATTATCTCGCCTATAAACCCGAAAGTAGACATGACCGACCCTGTACCGCATCATCATCATCATGTACAATGAATAGAAAAAACACCTAACAAGAAAGCAGCGGGCTTGTTATTGAACATTTTGGATTTCGATCAAACAGATGTTCGCCTTGATGAGGCAATACCCAAACAGATGTTCGCCTTCTCATCTTTTTAAACGAATTATTGCTGAGTGAACCCACTGGGTTCTCACTTATATTGCTGAGAAACCCGGTACGCCAGCTTATCCATGAACTGGCACTTTTTGTGGAATCCCCAACCCGGATTGCTCTGCATTGTACAGTAGTTAATCAATACATCACTTTCACTTGTATATACGTAGTATATATGAAGCCAAAAAACTATAAATGCATAAAAAAATTGAAGTGTTAGCCACATTGATTTTCCTTCACATTTCCACAGACAAACCAACAGTGCCACAAAAATTAGAGAAATCATCAGCATTGTGTTTGATACGTCACCTGTGATTGACCAATGCATACTCCAAAATTAAAAGAGAAAAAATGCTTATAAAGAAAATTAACCTGAAGTGACTGAACAGCACGGTCTGTGAACATCTTCACTGAATTGGGTGCGCTTTGTGGAAGAGTAGATGCAACTCTTTTCAGTTCCTCGTGCTGCTGCTTTGCTGTTACTCTGTCAGGGCCACTGTAGTGGTCAACTATCTCTTTTATAAGCGGGAGCCTGACCTCCATCGTTTCTTTCATGGCTTCCTGGATGAGTGTCAATAACAACATTAACACCACACCAATGGTATAAACAGTGGCATCTACAGCAACAATATGTGACATATCATATCTTTAGTAGGAAAATCAGTTATACAACTGATTTGGAACTAAAATAATGATGGATTAAATTACAGCTTCAAGTGTTCATTGTTGTTTCTTGACATATAGAATTCATCACATCTTATGCACTTTTGTATTGGGAGTAGAGGAGGTTAACTAGTAGAAGCAAGGCAATCAAAAGCGATAGCATACACTCAAGGCAAAAGGCACTATATCGCCAGAGGCACCAGGCACAAAAAGCTCCAGAATGACTCGTAAAGTGTACACATTTGAAAGCATTGTCTATTATCTATATTGTTCTCAAATCATCAAAAACATGTTACTTAATGTAAAACTAAACCATATGCACCAATAATGTCACAAACATACTACCTCTGTCCCTCATTTAACTAAGTTGATGCAACTTTTGAGAGGGTTGAAACTGTGTTCTTGATATCAGCCAAGTAATGCTTTCTGAAAAGGGAAAGTGAAGATAGTTTTGGGGCTAACCGACTGATGGAGTAACATTTTAGCCATTACCATGTAAGGCCAATGTGGGAATTAATTGACAAACTGACTACTGAACAAAGTATTGAACTACATAATATGGAAGACCAAAAGTGCATCAATTTAATGGACAGATAATTTGGGTTTTATAATCAGCTCATGAGACTGCATCAAGGTGCTATACTTTAGCCTCACTCTGATGACAGCACCTGAGATAGTTCATGGTGCAAGAGCTATTTCGTGCCTCTCCTTTGCGCATAGGTGAGCACCTCTAGCACTGTCAACTACACTTAATGGAATTAGACCTTGTTCTTGAGGAAGGTGATGAAAATGTCAAGAGTAACAAGGTGCGATTGCAAGGTTTTAAAAGGCTAAAAGAAGCCTCGAGGCGCTTTACTTTAGCCTATTAAGGCGTCCTAAAACAGAAATATCCTAAAAAAATATAAAAGGCTAATCAATGCATGATAACAAATATATGCATGATTAAAAAAAATGTAACTTTACCCAAAAAATATATAACTTCACAACAAAGTTATAAAATTATGAGAATAACCATATGTTTAAGCCAAGTTGTCTTAAAACTAAGAATTGAAAAGGAACTGCTACTAATGATTAGCTTTACTTGTTATAAAAGTGTTACCGAGTACAGAGCAGCCGTGATAAGAAGAGTAGCAAGCTCCCGGCTAAACAGAGAAGAGAAAATATCTAACTAAAGAGAACAACATCTAACTAGGGACCTTATGATTTTGCATATTGATGTATTCACATTGTTTACCTAACTCAAAGACGTTATCGAGCCAGATTCTAGAGATCTGTTGGGACCAATTACTTGGTCAAAATGAGGCATGAGTCTCAACTACCTCTCAGGGCTTGCACCTCTAGACAACACAGTGAGGCTTAAGCCTTGAGACATTTTAACTGTGCTTTGCACTGAAAAAAACCTTGGTGCATACACCTAAAACACCATGTAAAGTGTAAACCATGTGTACAGTATAGGAATAGTCCTCCTTATAGTTTAAGGCATCAATTTGCATACAACCTGATTTAGGGTGTAAACATGGTAAGAGAAGATATCGACATGATATTCCAACTTAACTCTATCCTTCTCTATGCGTATCTTCCTTTTTAGAGCACCTGTTCTCAGTTTTATTATGTTCTTTCATCTCAGTGTTTGTATATAGTTTCCTACTCTATGTTTTAAAGCTTTCTTAAGCTTTTCTTATTTTTTTCTTATTTCAGGCTTACAGCCTGAAATAGCAGTCTTTACGAAGTTTCATGTTTACTTCATAATTACTACTACCTCCGTCCCACTAAGAATGGGACAATTCGGTTTACGATGCTTGACCGGCGATAAAACAAACAGATCATGTCCGCACTCAAATTATTTTTAGAAAAATAAATAAATATTCAGAAACTACATTTAAAGTTTTACAAAGTCGCAAAAACCATAGTCAAATTTGATAAAAACTTGATATATAAAGTAGAGAAAACTAGCACATAGGTCCTCCTACTATGTCGAAAAAGTCAATTAAGTCCTTGTACTTTAATATCAACCAATTGAACCCTCAAACTTATAAAAAATGCTCAATTGTGTATTTTAGCCAGCAAAGAACAAGTTCTTCGGTTAACTCCATATGTGTATTGTTGATGTGGCTTTTTAATGTTTTATTATTATTTTTAAGCTTATTATTCTAACTGGCTTGGAGTAATAATCAGCATTTCCTCATCTTCCCAGGCAGCACTGCCGTATCCCTTTCTGCCACAAGCCCACCGCACCGACGGTTGACTAACCCTCTCACGTAGAGCACACCTTTGTTCCACCGTCTGCACCGCCAACTTGCATCCTCCATTCCCTTCACGTAGAGCACTGCCGCATCCTCTTCAACCACACCTTTGTGCCACCATCTGCATCCACAACTCATCATCCTTTGCAATTTAGTTCAGCGGCCGCCATATTTACCTATCCAGTCAACCGCCATTTCCATCGGTCTTGCAAGAAGTCGTTGTGTAGATCTGACTGTGCTTCACCGTTTTCTTAGCCCGTACGTGAGTGAGGGATGACTCCGGCGGTAGCGGCCACAAGCTGCAACTCCGACAATGGCAGCCACAAGCTGCAACTCTGAGAATGGCGGCCACAAGCTGCAACTCCGGCGATGGAGGCCATAAGCTGCAACTCCGGCGATGGAGGCCACAAGCTGCAACTACGGCGACAGCGACCACAAGCTGCAACTCCGACGACGACGGCCACAAGCTACAACTCTGGCGATGGATGCAATTCAAAATTTAGTTGGTCTCAGTTGTACGAAGGCGAAGGGAGAGAGTTCTGAATTTCTCTTCTCTGGTGCGAACGAGTGTGGGAAAAGCAAGAAAGTAATATGAAAGGAAGGAAGAAAAGAAAGGAAAAAAAAGGAAAATATTAAAAATCCACATGGATTGAGTGTTTTTTATGAGTTTGAGGGTTCAATTGATTGATTTTAAAGTTCGAGGGCCTAACTAACTTTGACATAGTAAGGGTGCTAATTTGACAGTTTTCCCTATAAAGTAAGAGATTAAGAGTGATTTGTGTTGACCAAGTGAATAGGAACTGGGACAATCTTAGCGGGACGGAGGGAGTAAAATATTACAAAGAACTCCCTTCGTATTAAAATAAGTGTCCCAGTAGGTTTTTCATGTAGTTTAAAATAATTTATAGGTTTATGATACACTTTTTGAAAAAGTGGGATGTTTTTAATTTTATACTGTAACAATACTGTTTACTTTATTAAAGTGTATTGTAGCTGCTTTTGGGGTGGATTTATTTCCTAAAATGGAAGTGAGACACTTATATTGATACGGCCAGAAAAGAAAAGTGAGACACTTATTGTGATACAGAGGGAGTATTTGTTTATATTTACAGTTCTGGTCTGCCTGAAAGCAACTCATTCCCTCGTATTTTGTTATATTGCAATGTCAATCCAACTTTAGGTAATCACTGGCTACTTTTACTTGCACTTACCTTTCCTTTATATTCCCTCCGTCCCAAAAAGGTTGGCCAAATTTCCTTTTTTGGCCGTCCCAAAAAGGTTGGTCATTTCCATTTAAAGTAAGCAATATGTGGCTAAAGTTAATTCTCTCCCCTCTGCACAAATTTCAACCACACAATTTTTACTTTATTAATCCACGTGCATGTCAACATTGGCCAACCATTTTGGGACGGAGGAAGTATTACATAATCTTTGCACTCTTCAATTACTAACACTCTTCTACACCACGTCCAAACAGAGTGTTAGAAAGCACAAAATTATCAAGCAATACAAAAGCTCCAAAAAGCATAACTAAAGGACCAAGTGCACATTACAATCGTAAAGCAAAATTCCTCTGCTATCAAAAATATTTGAGGCATAACACTGAATGCTAAGAAAAGCAAACATAGTTGGATCTTATACCTCCCACTCTTCTTGGCTTTCAATTCCTTCATACACCATAAGGAATGGCTTCATCTTCTCAAGGGCATCTCTCAATGGAATAGGAGGTTTCTCGTCAATATCGGGATTCCTGTCAAATTCTCCCATCATGTACTCTTCTTCACATTCAATCTGCAGGTAAAACAATTTAAATGTCATACAAACTGCAGAAATTTTGTCGGTTCAGATAAAACTAGATCAAGTCATCAAACAAGGATTGTATTACCTTTAAATTGGTATCAAGAGCATCCAGATAAGCATCCTCTATACGAGATGGGAAAATTCTAGGAGCAATTTCTTCAATGCCTTCAGCTAATTGGCTCATAATATCAGGACCAATCTCTTGAGCCAGCTTTTCAGCAGCAGCAGCATCACCAACGTTGAAGATATCACCATATTTCTCACCAACATCTTCCTGTACTTTACCCTCTCCACTTCCTCTCCCTCCTCTGCCTCTGCCCCCTCTCCCTCCTCTTCCCCCTCTCCCCCGTTCACTAAACCCGCTACGTCCCCTCCATGGAATGGTTCCTCCTCTTCCCCTCCATTCACCATCGCCACTTCTTGCTTGTCCACCATGAGCAGTCCCACTATTCGTGTCATCTCTGTTGAATCTTTGGCCAGGAGGTCTGCTGTTTTCAGGGCCACCGGGAACTGGTCTCTGCCAACTAGTTTGAGGATTTTGCCTCTCCCTTAGATGCCTGTTTTCTTCCTTGGGTTTTTCAGGAGAAGTTTGAATGGTCTTTCCACGGCCCGCACCAGATAAAACAGAGATGATATTCGAAGGAAGGAGACTGGCTGCATCACTGGACTCAACAGATGCTTTGGCTCGGAAATCCGGAGAGTCTTCTTCTTTTACAAAAAACGAAGGGCTGTTGGAAAGTGGCAGTTTAGGAGGCATCTGCTCCTGAGATTGGGGTCGTGGAGCAGAAGCGGGGCCTCGGATGCCTCGGCCGCGTCCAGCAGGGCCATTACTATCATGCACAAAGGAAAATAAGGGCTTGCTGCTACCACGGCCGTGCCCAATTCCACTATGTTTCCCTGCAGAAGCTGACTTGTCATCCTTTGAATCACCGGACTCATTTTGGTTTGGCGTAAATCCAAAAACGGAAGAGTTACCGGAGCCGAATCCACCGCCACCCCGGCCATATCCGCCACCGTCGCCGGATGAAGTTGAAAATGCAGAAGTAATGAAAGATTGTTGGCGTGATATACTGCCGATAGAGCAACGAGGAAGCTTTCCCCAGCTACGGCTCATATTCAAATCCTTTTGAGATCAATTAACAATTCGTTGCATACAGGGCTGTCTACGGCAATTATGAGGCCCTAGAAAGTCAAATAAACATTTCATTTGAACAAGTTTTATTCAGCATAACTATTGATGTAAAGAAAACTTTGAAAACAATCAATCCAAAATAGACCAAAAATAATGACATTCTACTGGCACAATTTTCTAGTCTTTTGAAAAGCGAAATTTGTAAGAACGTCAGTACAACCATGATTAGTCAAGTAACATTTTCTTTCAATCGATAACATAGCCAAACCAGATAATCTCTCTTGAGACAGGGTTGATTGGTGATAATTTTTTATGAAGCTTCAATTTTGATCAATTCCTTTATTAATTTGTTCTTTCACTTCTCTTTGTATATCCCGATTCATGTTTTTATTTTCCCATCATCACAAAACCTACAATTTCATACAGAATAATAATAATTACATACATGAATCATACATTAAAATCTAATCCACATACTCCGTATAAAGATTATAAGTATTCAATATTTCAATCCAGCTCACAAATAACAATTTCAACCAGATAAAGTTTTTCTAAGATTTAATACATCCACAAAAGTGATTATTATAATCAATTTATTTATTTTACACACCTAAATGAGCAATTAAGTTATTGGCGTAATTGAATAGCAGAAAAGATCAATACTTTATGTTATTTAAAAAACAAAGATCAATGCTTTATACAATTATAAAAGTATACTTAAACAGTTATTGCATTATACATATTAAATTTTATTATTTGAATACAGATACAATAATACACACTGGCCTACTTACTACTCCCTAAGTGACTAACAATTAGAAAAACTAAAAATTCATCTGCAGAATTTTGGATCTTCTCCGTACTAAGGCAACACTGACGGCGTATTGGTTGGTCATTAAATTAAAGCTTATTACATCTCCTTAATTTAGAAAATTATTCAACGTTTAACTGAAATAACAGATAAAGAACGAAGCTCAACAACACCCTCGAAGCTTGATCTATTCACTTTAGAAAAACTATAAAAAGATATGTACGAAGAAACAAAACAAATGAGAAAAAATAAGAATCAACAAAACAGCAATAATCAATTAACCTCGGGATACTAGACGTCCGACCTAAGGAGAAGAGGAGCTGCAAACGGAGAGCGATCTAGCGTACGACCGTTTGGCTAAGATGAGCGGTTTAGAGAGATGCCGGATCGGATGAATTGGGCCGGGTGGTTTTCTAATTGGACGGGATCAAACACTTTGGGCCATAAATTTTTATTACTGAAAGTGATTGAATCGGATGATTCTTCTGAAATTTATGAAATTTTGGTTGAAGTGACTAAATTGGATGATCAAATTTATGACTAAATTGTAAAAAGAAAAATATCAATAAAATTTAAAGAAAAAACTAAATAAAAAACTAGTTCAAATGATCATCTACGGTAACTTTAGTCGATTTAGACATAAAAGTAACTACAACCTTACTTGTTTTTATTATTACACAACTCAGCACATGAAATAATAATTTACGCTTTTAGTGAAAAATTGACTGATAAATCTAATAAATAAAAAAAGGAGTAGCCAAACGAACCCTTGATTTGGCCGATTTTAAATTGTACTCCAGAGTCTTTTAAAAAATTGTCAACTTTCCTTTTTTTATTGTTTTATTAATTCTCATTTAATTTAAAAATGTGTGGTTCCCGTTAATCCTCCCTCATCTGAATTGCACAAACTTTAACCACTAAATTTTTAATTTATTACTCTTTGTGCCGCTAAAACTTGATCAAGTTTTAATGAACATACAGGGTATATTTTAATTAATTCGGCGCCTTGCGCGACAAAATAATACCAGGCTTTCTTATACAAGTATAAAGATTAGTGACATATGGCTGCCACAGAGTCAAAATATAATAGATTTTGCTCGAAGGTGATTTTATCTTGAGTTTTTTCTGTAAGAAAGTTTGTTGTAAAGAAATGCAATATGAAAAGCACACTTTCAGTTAGTTGAAGTTTAAACATTCTGTTCCTATGATTATGCAGTGACATTAGCATCAATCGAGGAGTAAAAACTAAAAAGCTGGAAAACACCGACCACTATTTCGTGATGTGCTGTATATGCATGTTCACATCATCATCATCATCCCCCTGCCTCCCTCCTATAATTAGTCACGCCCATTCATAATTGAAAACCGCGTCGGTAAAAAAAGGTTCTGTAAACTTTCGACTTTCTCTCAGGCATTTGATCAAACACTTCTCCTTCATCTTCCTCAGCCATGGCTGCTACTCATGCTTCCTCCTCTTCTTCCACTCTCAGAGCCATTTCTTCCTCTGCTAAGCACCCTTCAGCCTACCCCACCTCTCTCCGCTCACTTCTAAAACCCCAGCCATTTAACCCTTTGGTTTCAAAAAATAGTCTCCGCATCAGCACCCCGGCCGCCGGCGCCACCTCCAGGAAATCGCTCACCGTCAGTTGCCTCGCCAGCCCATCCGGTAAGCTGAAATTGTTAAGAGTTAAATGTTTTCTATGTTTAATTTCCACAGTTAATATCAATGATTCTGAAGTTATTTAAAAAATGGGTAACAGCCAAAGTTCAAGAACTGCATCTGTACGAGATCAACGAGCGTGATCGTGGCAGTCCGGCGTATCTCCGGTTGAGCAAACAAACGGTCAACACTCTCGGCGACCTAGTCCCATTCTCCAACAAGGTTTGTATAGTTGTTTCAAATTTTGTAATGAAGAAATTAGTCATGCCAAAGTGATAAAAAAAATTGATCTTTTTCATTGCTGCTCTGTTTTCTCTGTCAGTTGTACACCGGCGATTTGCAGAAGAGGGTAGGGATAACCGCCGGACTGTGTATTCTGATCAAGCACGAAGAGGAGAAGAAAGGCGACCGTTACGAGGCGATATACAGCTTCTACTTCGGCGACTACGGCCATCTCGCCGTTCAGGGGCAGTACCTGACGTATGAGGACACCACTTTGGCGGTCACCGGCGGATCTGGGATCTTTGACGGAGTCTCCGGTCAGGTCAAGCTCCAGCAACTCATTTTCCCGTTCAAGCTCTTCTACACTTTCCACTTGAAGGGTATTCCTGATCTGCCGGCGGAGCTATGCGGCACGCCGGTGCCGCCGTCACCCGCCGTGGAGCCGTCTCCCGAGGCCAAAGCGTGCGCGCCTGGGGCCACCATTCCGAACTTCTCGAATTAGTCGATTAATTTACCGGTTCTGGGACCCACAGGGTCATTTAATTTACGAATTAGTACCAATTACTGTACTACATATTTTCAGTTCTGACTGTTGTCACGATGACGTGGCATAATTTGGAGTTTTAATAAAGCAATTAGCGTTACAGCACGTTTTTCCATATATTAAACATGAGTATACATTGTCACTTTATTTATTAGTGTGTTAATTCAAATTGAGAATAAAATTGGGATGAAGATAATGAGATTGTTTGTTTTTTGGGCGGATTGGTACAAGACCCTCCAAAATGTAGTGTTTCCACTTAGGAAATTATTAACGTTTTAGCGTGAGACGCTATAAACCAAACATCTCCAATAACATACATCCAAGCTGGAGTTGTATGTGCATTCAAACGAGTCAAGCTCGAGCTCGATGTGCTACTCCATCAGATTACGAGCCTATCTGCTCTACCCAATAGGGGGGCTCATGAGTAGCGCATAAATGTTGTTCCAACACATATATTCAATTCGTTTAGAAGGTAATTATGAGCTTCAGTTCGAGCTACTCAAAGTTGGGTATCTTAGAAAGTCGAGCTCGAGCTATACATGACTCTTAATGAGCCGAGTTCGAGCATGAAAATGAGAGCAAACCTTAACGAGCTCAAGCCAAACTCGAAATATGATTGTGCTCGACACGAGACACAACACTTATTCATGTGAATTCAGTTGTTACTTGTTAGTAGTTAGTACGGTTTGCAAAGATTTTGTGAGGCTATCCTATAGTTTAAACTTTGTAATTGTATACTACTCCCTCCGTCCCGTTTATATTGTCCCGTTTTACCTTTTCGGGAAGTCCCACTAACATTGTCCTATACCATATTTGGTAAAGTTTGTGTGGCTCAAAATCGTTTTTACTTTATTCTTACTTTAACAATTAATATCAACCACACAAACCCACTTTTCTTAAAAATCGTGTCACCCTCTTTCGTCCCAATATAAAAGGGACGTAGTACTTATTATTGAACAATGAAGTAATACCCACACAAAAATAATTTCTAATGGTAACAATTAAGTATTGCTTATATTTACGCCAAATATGCAATGATTCTTTTTGAGTGAAATATGCGACAATTTGAAGAATAAATTAGAATTATTTGATTGTTACCACAACAAATCGTAGCATTGATACCATCCCCAAGATATATGTTACAGATTGCAATGGAGAATCAGGTGGCACTTATCTGTTTAAAATGGGAATGGGCAATTTGTTATTGACTTTTTCTGGTCAAACAAGCAACTCCATAGTTACTTTTAATAGATTTTCTTAATTATGTGCATTTTTCTTATTAATTTGCACCGTCACCGAAGTGTGTGATAACAAGTCTTGTTAGTATTAACTATTAACCATAACATAGTCTTTCCTCACATTTGTGGAGGTCTCTCTTTGACGTGAAACACTGTACTTTTTTTTTGAGTTTTTTCTAAAATATTACTAATAAATAATAAAATTCAATGGATAAAAATGTGAATTTTGAGGTACTTTTAAAACTCTGAGATATCCTTTATCGTCTTCCTACGGCGATTTTCAACGGCGTTAGGTGTCGAACCCCTAGAATAATAACAGAATCAAAACACGGGATTATTTTGTGATGAAATGAAACACAAAGAATTACTTATATTTTTCTGTTATATTAAAACACGCCTAACTATTTATATTTTTTCCGTACTCCCCCGAATAATTCTATTTAAACCATATTTTATTAATGTTTTAGCATTTTTTTGACAAACTAAAACCAATTAAAATGGAAATTGTATATTGATTGGGCCTCGTACAAGAATGGTAAAGAAGGTGACAAGAATAACAAGAAAAAATGTTAAGAGAGCAAAGTAGAGTGTAAATGGATGTGTAATTCGAATCAGATGTGTCCTCTTACAACTTAGCTCAATACTACTTATAGGAGGGGCAATCAATACCTTTTTGTCTGGTGTTGACGGTTTCGACCGTTACGACGACATTCAAAGTCGCCATCATGTCGTCATTAATGCCGATCAGCTCTTCTAAGTAACTGCTGCTTTAATTACATTAATAGCTATAATAATACACATAAAATTGTTATAATAATTAGCTAGCATTAAACCTAATAAAGACGTCATTTATTGTTGTTGTTAAGCTTCTTGGATGCTGTCAAATTAGGGATGTAAAAAAAAAACGACCCGCAGTGACCCGCCCTGGCCCGAGACATTTGGGGCGGGTCCGGCCCGCCCCGTCTTTCAAATGGGGCGGGCCCGTCCCACATATACAATGGGGCGGGTCCGGGTATTAGTATTGACTCGTGCCGCCCTGACCCGCCCCGCCCCGACCCGCTCAATACATAAGTATACATACTTTTTCTTAAAGTATACTACAAATATACTTCAACATACATATGTGTGTATACAGTAAATCATAAATTCTTTGATCTTATAATATATTAATACATATATTAGAATTTGATGAACGACAGATTATCAATGTCTTCTTTATATATAGCATTTTAATACATATGTTCAATTATGGGTTTAATGCACCAAACCCCCTTGTGATTTGGAAATTCGGCGCATTAGCCCCCCGTGATTTAAAAAATGCGTCAAACCCCCCTGTGTTTTAATTAATTATGCACAGAACCCCCTTTATGAATAAATTTAATGATTTGAAAATCACTTTTCCTAATATTTTGATTGAATATGCAAATAAATATGTCAAAATCTCTGAATCATACAAAAATGTTAATCATTTTTCTTTTATTTGACAATTGAATTTGTTCACATAAGGGATTTGGCGCATGATTAATTAAAACACAGGGGGGTTTGACGCATTTTTTAAATCACAGGGGGCTAATGCGCCAAATTTCCAAATCACATGGGGGTTTGGTGCATTAAACCCGTTCAATTATTAATATAATTAAATAGATTAAGTATCAAGTACGAGTAATATTTCCTTAATTTTGAAATTTTTAGGGTATCATGAATTTGATTTAATATATTAATTTTTAATTATTATTTAGAGATAAATTTTATGTAGATTCAATTGGTAACAACTTCCCACAAATAAAAATACATACTAACTAATAAGGTTACGGCGGGGCGGACCCGCCCCACATGGGGCGGGGCGGACCCACCCCACATGGGGCGGGTCATGGGTCAACAAGTTTGGACCCGTGCAGGTTATGGGGCGGGCCGGACCCGCCCCGCCAAGTCACGGGGCGAGTCTGGGTCTGGGTCTTGCAGTACCCGACCCATTGACATGCCTATGTCAAATCCATGCCCCAACAATTAATGAAATGAAGAACACTTGTGCGAGACAAATTAGCAAGATTTGTTCTCGGTAACAAATTTAATTCATTCAATCACAAACCTAACTTGATTCTTACCCATTTGACTATCCATAATTAATGAGTGATATCAAAAGTTTTCAATTTAGTATGCAAACTGACCCTAAAAGTCTAAAACAGTAGTTTTTAGTCAAGAAAATTATATTTGTAAAAAAGGTCAAGAATAGTATAATACACAAAAACAAGTAATATACGGAGTAATTAAAGATTAGGTATCAGAATTGTTTTTTCGCCATTCTGCTAATTCACACGTTTGAACAATTGAATGAAGAAAGAAAGTCAAAGTGACCAACTCACTCCCAACCTCCACTTTTGAATTCTAATTTTCACTTTTGTTCCGTGGTTACCGTCCATATTTAATGGCGACAGCAATCATTGGCAGCGGAATGCATATACTCCCTCCGTCCCAACCACATGCTCTAATTTTAGCTAATTCTCCTGTTGCAATTTTTTTTATTTGACCTAATTATAAAGTACTACTACGTACGTATTTATTTACCCAGTCTTGGTGGATTTGTGAACTTTGAATTTACGTGAGAAATCAGAAGGAAAAAGTTGTCTTGTTAAAGTTTGGGACAAATGGGGTTAATGCATAGAATCCCTATGTGATATCATTAATAAGTGTGTTATCTATCTGTGTTTTGAAAAATGCATGGAATCCCTTTGTGTTGTGATAAATGTAGCAACTGTTGTATATTCATACATATATCAACAAAACTCCATATGCGATATATATATAAATATATAATAGCTAAATCCATATAAATCCATGAAATCAAATATGTATGAACTAAAATTAGAATCATACCTTGAGATTTGAGAATTTATTTGCATTATCACTTTAAGAAGACCCAAGAATCCAAGAAAGCTAGTAGGCTAAACCTTCCAATGCTATGTAGCTTATTAGAGATGTTCTAATCCTATAATAGATGGGATATATATAGGACTAGCTAGTTCAATATTGTAACGGTTGGCCCCTTCAATTTGAATAATAATTCCTTAATTATTAATATAATAATGATATTATTTAGAATAATTTATTAGGCTATTTTTCGTTACAATATTCATACTGTTATCTCTTAGTTTACACGCATCGGGGGTCATAACCGTTGTATCACTTTAGTGTAATATATTTAATTTGACCCGTCACCCAAAAAAAATATTATCCTGGTATCTACACTTTTATTATTTCATGAATAGCCACTGTATTATTTATCTGATGGTAAACACATTTTAATTAATTACATATTAGGCCCCTTTTATTGTTTTCCAACAATCTCCCACTGGGCCTTATATGTAATTCTTAATAAAATGTGTTATCTTTATGAGCTCAAAAATACCATCATATAAAATAACATCCTTAAACAATCTGGTCCATCAGTCATACTAATATAGAACCATTGCAGCATTTTGTTATGTTAAACATAACTATACCATCAATGATCACTAGTATCAATATTACATAATGACATAGATCAATCATGAAATGTGTAGCGTGAAAATTACATGAAATGTGGCATGTACATGTAAATTTTCAACTGACCCTTCTTGAATAAACTTTAAACTTTAATGACTTAATTGTTCAGAATACACTAAATGTCAAACTTTATTCTGATCAGAAAATAAATTCATAAAGCAATAGAATATCAGACATAACTTATAAACTCTGTGACACTCCAAAAATTTAAATAAAATAGATGCTTATATTAATTAGATAAAAGTTTAACATTTGATAAAAGTGATATTTTTATGAAATATTATGTTCATGAAATAAAATTTTGACCTAAATAATAAAAATGACATTTTAGTACATTTGTAACCAAAGAGAGAGAAAGAGACCGGTTAATAATAAATATCACACAAAAAAAAAAAATCAGATAATGTTAAGCACACAAAATTTGACTTTTCAGA